AGTCTGGGGGTTTGAAAGAGATCCTTTTTGATGCTTGATGTTCCATTTTCTTTGTGACCCAGGTGCTTCAGGCGTCACCGGGTCACAAACATTCATACCGATAGTCAATTTTGGTCATACCTCTGATCATTTCTGACTCTCCCATATTTGAGGAGAGTCTTTCTCAGGTATATCTAAGAGCACCTGAGGGGGTGTCCTGTCTGGATTCAGGATCAGGCCAATCTGTTTGGTGTTCTCGTCCCCTGCTAAAAAGGTCCCCATGAAAATGGGTCTCCCTATGCCCAATCATCCTTACCCATTGGTCTTTCTGGATCCTCAGGGAACCAGGACTGTGATGGTGCAAAGTCCTGTCAGGGAAATAGGGGCCTCTCCCCCAATCTCCATCACTCTTCCTTCCCTGGGCCCCAAAATAAGTCAGACTCAAACCATCTTGTATGACATGGCCCACTCAGCTTTCCTCCATAACTTAATCATCAGATAACTTCCAAACCAGCCCTCCAAGATGGACTGGTGGGAGAAGAACCCACCAGTTCTTCTGTTCATCTATCTGTCCATCCACCCATCTCTGTGTCATTCTTGGGCTGTGCACCCAAAACTTCCCTCTCCTCCTTCAGCTGAATCAAACAGCTGCTGGTTTGTCAGCTGTTGGTAAGGACTGCCTGTAAAGATTACTGACCATCACTGTCCTTCGAAAACTTCTGATTTGCACAAGCCCAAATGCCCTACTTATATACTCAGAAAAGACGATCCGCTCTTGGTTAAAATTACACCATTAGACCAGGTGGGTTGCTTGCTTTTTCTTTAACAGTTTTATTGGCAGTTTATAAATTTATATTATATATATATTAAAATTTATATAATTATATAAACTTTTCATAGTTTATATAATTCCTATATCATACAATTAAATAACTCATTCACATCAAGAAGAGTTGTACTATCATCACATTTTAGAACATTTCCTTCATTCTTGCACACATCATTATTAACACCCCATATTCCCCCCAACTCCCCTGTCCAAACCCCCAAGAAACCATTAACACAGTTACTGTCTCAATTGACCTCTCCTGGATTTCATATACAGAAAAACATGTTTTAATTAATAAGAATAACAAATCAAAACAGATAAAAACCTCAATTGTACAGAAAACAGAAAATATTAAAGAGTAGGACAAATTTAAATGGATCATAAGGGAGATCAAATGGCAAGGTGCTTAATTTGTACCTAACTGCATCTGCAACCATTCCCCTTCTGAGGCCTCCTGCATGTTGGCCAGGCTGTTCACATCCCTGGTTCATGATCAGACAGGGTTCACCAAGGGCTTAGTATATGTGTACTGCCCCTTCACTTTTTTTTTTTTAACTATAACAGCTTTAAAATGGAACAAAAGGGAGATCACGTGATAAGATACTACACTTTGACCTCACCACGTCTGCCTTATCGACTTTTCAATACTCTTTCTGATAACAAGGCTATTCACATGCACCAACTATCATCAGAAGGGGCTCACCAGAGGCTGAATCCATGGGTAGACCCTGCAAATGAATTTGGGGCTTCCACTGCCCTTCATAACTTTGTTTAAGTTGGGTTTCAATTTTTAGGCTCTGATACCTTCCCTTCATCATATGTGGATTTTGTTCTTTGTCATCTTTGGATCACACAGGCTGGTGTGCTTCATCCTTGTGGACTTAGTTGATGCCTCACTTAGATGGCTGCTTGTTAGAAAACAAGCCTTAAAGACCGCAGACGCCATTCTTTCTGATTCCTGGGCACCATCTTGTTTCTTCACCACACTTGGCTATATAACACCTCTGTCTTCAGTGATCGCTTCATGAGGTTGAGCATCAAGCGGGGCCATGTCATAAGAATGAATTGTTCTTTGATTGGAGCTAGAATTAAGTGCAAGCCCCAAATCCATTCATGCTTCTACCTGTTATATCTGTCTCTGGGTCACCTTAGAGACGTCATTGTCATTTTATGTTAGAGAATATTATCTTTCAAACCTTAGGGCATTACTTCCGCTACCATCAATTCAATGCTGACTCATAGTGACTTTCTAGGGCAATATAGAACTGCCCCCGTGAGTCTCAAGTCTGTAAATCTTTACAGGAGTAGAAAGTCTCATACTTCCCCTGTGAAGCTGATGGGTAGTTTTGAATTGCTGACCTTGCAGTCAACAGCCCATTGTGTGCCCAGTACGTATTGATAATGTCATTAGCTTAGCCAATGGTATGGAAGTTAAAGCACTGTTCAGGTGTCATAATTATAGGAGCATAGTAGACCAGGTTTCTTGACTCAGCAGTTATGAAATTGATTTTCATTCCTCCATCACCCTAGAGGCCACTTCCTTCATCCAACAGGTAGGAATTTATTTTTCTTGAAAGATAAGCAAAAAGAGTGGAAGCTTTATTAACCATGCCCACTTTCTGGTCTCCAAAAGAAACGATTAGCCCTGGCTGAGAAATGGCAGAGGAACGAGGCTAGAGATGAAACGTTTTAAGAGCAGAGATGGTGGGAGAGGTTTGGGTGCGTGTGGAGAACAAGCCTCAGAAGCGAGCAAAAGGGTCCCAAAAGGGAGTGAACACCCTTGAAAATGAACTCGGCCTAATGGTCCATTTTCACCAAGAGGGGGTCTTCTTGTCTAGTTGCACGAGGATGTGGTCAACCTGAGCTGGTGCTGTTAAGAATGGGCTGAGGTCACACTCGCACCCTATATCCTGACTCTTGTTTGCATTTCAGTGTTGGGAGACCTGCATCGGCCAGGAAATCTACCGTCTTCTCCTGGTGGATTTCGTGTTCTCTTTAGCTGATTCCTTCCTTGGGGAGCTTCTGAGGAGGTAAATCCTTATCTGAAGAGGGTGTCGTAGACACTCAAAAGAGCTTTACATAAAGAGTAATTATATATCAAGAAAGCATCCCAGCCCAATCCAGATCAAGTCTGTAAGTCTGATATTAGCCCATATGTCCAATACCAATAAATTCCTATTCAGACTCATGCAGTACATGCAGTGACGCCGAATGCAGGAAGATCACAGGCCAATGGGTGGAAAGTCTTGTGGATCCAGTGGCAATGGAAGCATCTCAGTGCTGGTGTGGGTCCATGTGGCTCCTCCAGCTCCTGGGCTCTGGCTCCATCAGTGTAGCTCCATGTGGTTTGTCAACAGGAAATGTCTTGCAGGGAGAGTGTATGTCCCGCCACCAGGGAGGAAAACAGGAGTTCCCAGAATACTCAGGAGAAGGATAGGCCCACACAAAGGTATTATGGGTTATGACCTGATTGACAGGCTAGACTCCACCCCTTTACTCAGTGGCAATGGATGTGCTGGCGTGGGTCTCCTTGTAGCTCCTCCAGCTCCAGGGCTCAGGCTCCATCAGTGTAGCTCCATGTGGTTTGTCAACAGGAAATGTCTTGCAGGGAGAGTGTATGTCCCGCCACCAGGGAGGAAGACAGGAGTTCCCAGAATACTCAGGAGAAGGATAGGCCCACACAGAGGCATTATGGGCTATGACCTGATTGACAGGCTAGACTCCACCCCTTTACTCAAGTTGACAGGCGATTATAGCACTGCCACAGAGGGCATTGGCCAATCACTGCTAGCATTTTCATCTTTTGTTCGGGCCAGCACCCCTCCAGTGTAATCCCTACCCATAGGTCATTGGAGACTTGGCATCTTACCATGGTGCTGAACAGAAAACCCTATGGAACAAATTGGTCTGATCCACCCTGCGGTAGCTTGCCACAGGACAAGGGGTTGTTTCGTTGCATTGTGCATGAATTGGGGGTCGACTCAATGGCCGCTAATAACAAATATTTAGCGGTTTGTTGGCCTGGAATAATAAGTACCTGACGCTGTAACCAGAGCCTGCTTCTGGCTAAGCAGGAAGAGTGGGTCCCCATATACACTATGCGTTGCATGTGTCAAGTCTGCCTATTGTCCCCAGGGATGGGGCTTACTTCTAAACTAACTAAGGTTTCACCTTGACCCACAGTCCTGTGGGCACGATTCTTTGGTTCAGCCCTTGACAACCTTCTCTTATGAAACACATTTTACAAATAAGACACAGAACCAGGGGGCCATTTGAAATCTGATCCGCAGTGTAGATACGTCTATTGTTCAGCGTCTGTTCTTCCGGATTCTTTTTTCTATGCTTCTGCACACAGGAATGTGGTCACACTGTAAAGCCGTTGTGGAACGTGCACTTATTGAACGTGCTCTCTGTGTTGTGGCAAGGAGTCCTGGTGGCCTAGTGGCCTAGAGTTGGACTGCTAACCCGAAAGTTGGCAGTTTGAGTCCAGCAGCCACTCTGAGGCAGCAAGATGACCCATGCATGGTCCTCCATTTTTATGCTTGCTTGTCTTTAAGAAGATGACATCTGGATGTCTGTGTGCACTGTGGAGCTCTACTGAGAAGGTGGCGTGATCTTCCCCGCAGTGGGTAGGCTGAATGCCTCCTTTTCCACAGTTCTGCTCAAACTTACTTTTACCCCAGCTTCTGCCCCGGCCTGGGCATCAAGTTGTTTGACAACAATTAACGGGATTGGCAACTCCTTTGTCGGACAAAGGCAGTGAGGTCTTGGTTCTCCCCGGGGTCAATGGAGGCCACCGAGCCCCTCTCGTGGATTCGAAATATAGGGAAACCCTTGCTCATCTAGAGAGCAGTATCCAAAATGGTAGCAACTTGGACTTGCTTGGGTTTGAGGATGGTGTGTTCATATGGCCCGTGAGAAAAACAAAGAGATATAAACAGGACAGTTGTTCCATGCTGCGGAGTCCATTTTCGACTCATCTGCAGCCCTGGGGGGCTAACCAAGGCTGCTAACTGTGCAGGGTGGTGGTTCAAACCCGCCGGTTGCTCCACGGGGAAAAGCTGCAACTGTCGGCAGAGGTCAGGTTGACACTCTCAGGAGCAGCTCTGCTGTGCCCTCCAGGGTCACGGGGGTCAGTGAGTTTGGTCGATGCCTAGAGGGACCTCCTTGCAGCAGCATTGCACCCCCAGGCCCTCTGAGTGGGTTCAAACCCCCAGTCTTCCGGGTAGCAGCCGATTGCTTACCAGTTGTGCCACCAGGACCCTTACACACGATAATGGGTGGGATGGTTTTAAAGATTAAGGCTACCATTTCTTTCTGGACTTCTTTACATCGTTTTCAGCAGTGCCCCATTTGAATTCATTGTCTTAATCCTCCGTTTTCCCTGGCTGCATGATAACAAACCTCTCGTTCGGCATGTTTATTTCCACACCAAGGAAATGAAATTATTTCTTCAAAAGCATGCTTATCCTTGGAATGTTTTTTTAAAATATGGCAAGGGAATAATTTCCAACTGGCGAGGGTCTCCTTTGTTGATAAACACGGTCCGTGGAGGCATTTTAAAAAACTTTTGGTGGTGAATTAGGGGAAAGCATAGAGTGGCTCCTAAGTTTTCATTCAGCAATTCACACACTGATTGCAATGCCCCCAAAATGCACCATCACTTAACTCGCTTTCTCCCTCTTATGGCCTGTTTCTATTCCTCCTCCTCTTCTAATTCTGAGCATTGTGCTCAGGTAAATGCTTCCCCTTTGATCTTCCATGATTGATTATTATCATGAGGGTGGGGGCAGGGGAGTCACGAGTTCAGGTCCAGACCTGAGGGGTGATGAATGGCTACAGCCTTGGAGGTCCCCGCCCCCATCTCTAGCCAACCAACAAGTCTGGTCTCTTTTATGATTTTTTTTTTCATTTCCTAGTATTTTTTTTTCTTTTCTTTTAATTAATCAGGATTTAATACATATAATATATCATGGGGAAAACAGGAGACAATGTCAAGGAGTCCATGTAGAAAAAAGATGGCTGGAAACTGATTGTGGTTGCCATGGTCCAATTCTACTTGACGTGGTTGAAATATGGAATGATATGCTATATGTGTCCTTTATATTGTGCTGTGGAGGAATCTGGGGGAGGAAGAACGCGATGGTTTCCGTACTAACCACAGTACCTGTTGGCAGGATCATTGGGATGAAGCTGATCCCCAGTCTCGGTGTCCAGGAGTTTGACATCGCCAGAAACGTCCTGGAGTTGATCTACGCACAAACCCTGACCTGGTGAGTCAGTGTGTGTGGGAGGGGGGGCAGGCTGGTGGGGGGGTGTCTTGCCCCACCTGATACGGATGTGGGCGATGGTTGATGCTTGAAACCTGTGCCGCTGCCTGAGAACCCCGAGTGTAGGCTCAGGCTGTTCTTTTCCTGTTTTGAGATTTGGGGAAGGGGGGCTCAGCCCACAGATGTGTTTCACTGGTTCCACAACGCGCTTTTTCTAACAATGTTCATTGACCACCAACATTCGGAGATCAGGAGAGCTTACAGAAAAGGTGAACTTCCTCTCAGTCCTCCGTGGTGGTGTTGGGCTGGGCCTGAACTGGGTAAAGGGCCCCACACCAGCTGTCGCTGGGTGTCCCTCTGGCTCTTCGCAGTCCCTGGTGCCTCACAGGAGAGCTGTGCCTGGTGGCTTCTCAGCCCAGCTGCTCTTTTCGAAGTAGATCTCCAGGCCTGCCTTCCTAGGTGACTCTGGGTGGACTTGAACTTTCCCCACCTTTCGAAAGCTTTGCAGTCAGCTTCTTAACCAGCAGCACCTCCTAGGGACTGCTGCACGTCTCCCCTTCGCCCTGGTCCCTGCCGTGAGCTGTTGCCTCCCAGATGTGACTTGGCTCTTCCTCTGTCCCTGTGCCCCCAGCTGTCCCCTTGTAGGAACTGTCGGTCTGCATCTGTGTTCAACTGAAGACAGAAACGGCAGAAAAGCAGGGGGCGTGTGTTTCTTACACCGGCCTGCCTCACCCATTGATGAGTCACCTCCTGGGGCCTAGGAAACCATCACATTTTTTAAAGGTGGATTCCAACTCCAGGTGACCCCGTGTGTTACAGAGTAGCTGAGTACAAACCCCCTTACTTCGCAGGTATGACTAGGCATTCGTGAGGACTTCCTGCCAGGGGTCTCTAATTCCAGAGCCCAAGCCCTCAACGTGGGCTGTTTGGGGAAAGGGGGCAAAGGAAATATAAGCAGCCGAGGAGGAAAGTTGCCAACAGGGGGACATGATTACACCTGTGCCTTTAAGCGTTTGCTGCGAAGTCATGTCTAGGCATCAGGAACACAGACCTCATCTTCTTTTTCTGTGCCAATTGTCGATTTAACTTCCGTAGGCTTTGGGATATTATTATCTGTGGGGTCCAGCCCCACATCCAGATGGGTGCTAAGGGACGGGTGTATAATTGAAGGGAAGAAATTAAGAGACAGACACACGTTTGCGGGTGCTCACCTCCGCCATGGCTTCAGGAACCAGGTCTGAGCAGGAGAGAGAGAGAATGTATTCTTAACATCAACTTATATCGATCATCTCGGGCATGCAAGCCACGGTAAGCACATAGGTCACACACATAACAGGAGGAGGACGAGCTAGGGGTATATACACACAATGGGAAAGGGGGGGCACTAGAGGCGTATATGTGGCAGGAAGGTACATACATAACGAGATGGGTGGGCTCTAGGGTTAAGATGATGGCCTAACCTTGGTCGTCTCTGAGCTGGCGTGGCAGCCTTGGGTGTCTCTGAGCTCTTCTCCAGGGGAATAATCCATGATCCTGATCCGCAGGGGATGGACCGTGCTCAGCGTTAGATGGTATGACTGCTTTTGATGGCAGAAAATAGCCTTCAAGCGGTTAACCTGCAAGCATATAGAGTATCAACCATGTGCTTGCAAGGAGCCCCTTCACGTTTGTGGGCTGGAGATGCGTTCCCGTCACCTTCTCCCAAGTAAAGTTATTCCCTACGACACCCCTCCATCCTAATGCCAATTTCAAGGTGCTACTTGCAAGCCTGTGTGATCTAAAGATGACAAGTAACAAAACCCAGAGATGATGAAGGGAAAAGTATCAGAGCTTAAAAAGTGAACACCCAATTTATAGAAGGCTGTGGAGGACCGTGGGAGCCCAACGCCCACCTGCAGAGTCCCCATTCAGATCAAACCTCTGGCAGATGCCCTCGTGGCACCGTCGAGAGGTGTGAACAGCTTTAACATCAGACAGGGATTATTGTCAACTTGGTTATGGTGGATGGAGCTGAGATATCATAGGATACCTGGTCAGTTGACCTCTCTCTTGACCCATCCTGGATTTGCTCTAGGATTAAATATTTCTCCCTTGTTCCAAGGCAGAACATTTTTCTCTGTCTTATTTTTATATTTTACTGGTGGTCTTTTCTTTCTCACCTCCTTCCCCCCACCCCTGTTTTGCTTTGTCTTTGTTTTTTGTTGTTTCTGCTCTGTTTCCCAGTGTACGAAGCACAAAAAGTTACAGAGGCAATGAATGATGTAATAGCTTATCAGGGATGGGTGGGGGAGGTTGACGGGAATTGAGGAGCAAACGATGGATATGGGAGGGGGGAGAGAGCACTAGAACAGATTGTGGTGATGTGTCTACAACTCATTTAAAAAGCAACGATGGAAGTGTATATGTGAATTTTAAATCAATAAAACTATTAAGAAAAAAAAGAAGAAAAGAAAAGACTGTGATGACAGCGAGTCAGAGATAAGACAGAGAAAAATGTTCTGCCTTAGAACAAGGGAGGGATGACGGCCTAGACCAAGGGAGGTAACCCTGCAAGTCTGCGCAGTCCCTGAGCAGGGATGGCAGAGGTGTTACTTCCTTAAGTAAACTTGGAAAGCTGTCTTTCTTTTGCGAAAGCATGCATGGATTATAAAACCAAGCGGCATTTGAGATAAGTCAGAAGGTGCTGGAAAGAACCCAGGCGATTGCGTTTGAAAAAGCCACTGAATCTAGCGAGATGCTGCAGCAGCCAAGGCTCCCGGGCCAAAGCCGACTCTTGGTCCCCAGAAGGGAGGTGGGTGAAAATAAAGAAATAAGTGCCGGTGTGCGCACAGGGGGCTGGCCCGTGTGAGGTGTGAGGAGCGGAAAGGCCAGCGCACCCGGAGTGAACGTCGTCTGTAGGCCCCAGGAGCAAGGCAGAGCTGGTGAGGCTGCCTTTGTCACCTGTAACCAGGTGGGGTCGAATGCCCTGTCCCTGTAGCACCTCAGACTTCATTCACCAGCATGGGGGTGTCCTGGAAAGAGGTCATGCCGGAGGTCATAGCTGGATTTGTGGCTGTGTGGCTGCAGCACCTGCAGTTGCTGGGTATGGGCGGATGTTGCCTGCTTTGCTGGGATGGCAGCCACCCCTCAATTCCCCTGCTCCCCACACGGCCCTATCTGCCCTCCACCCCTGAGATCTCTCTCCTCTGGTCCCTGACAGCCCGCCACCCCCACCTTCTCTCCCTTGCAGGATTGGAATCTTCTTCTCCCCTCTGCTGCCCTTGATCCAAATGATTGCTCTTTTCATCATGTTTTACGTCAAAAATGTGAGTTGGTCCGAAGTGGGAGCCAATCAGCATGGCGGAGCTACAGGTGACCTGGGAGGGGTTGGAAGGGCCCGGGGGGTGGGCGCAGTGCCTGGGAGCTGGCTGCTCTCTCCGCAGATCAGTCTGATGGTGAATTTCCAGCCCCCGAGCAAGGCCTGGCGGGCTTCACAGATGATGACCTTCTTCATCTTCCTGCTCTTCTTCCCGTCCTTCACCGGGGTCCTGTGCACCTTGGCCATCACCATCTGGAGGTAGGAGAGGGGGCTTTGCGGGGAGGGTGGGGGACAGGTGGGTGAGTAACCAACCGATCGTAAAGCTCTGAGGGTGTGTCCTGGCGTGGGCATCGCATATCACCAAGCCAGTCCGGAACCAGTAGCTTCCTCCCTGCAGCCAGGTACTAAGCTTCCTGGATTGGGAAGAGGCCAATTGCTGACCCAAGTGAACTGGCTGGCTCCTGCCTTCGCCAACTCCCTTCCCTTGGGCTTCTCCAGCCTCACTGCTCTTGTTCTGTTCTCTGTTCCCAGCAAGCACCTCTCCACAGGCATTCCTCTGGATGTCCTTGCCACGCTCTTTATGGCTGCCCAATTCTCACCTTCTGACTCTCAACTCAGACCTGGCCTTCTTCCCATCTGTCTGCAGTCAGCCCCTATCCTCCTCTCTCCCGGCGCTACGTCCTCTCCTCCTTCCATCGTGTACACACAGACAGGGAGAAAACTTGGAGCATCTCATTGTTTACTTCTAAAAGGTGCAGCTTCACTAAAACATGAGCCCAGGAGGGCAGGGTCTGCACCTGTCTTGTTGACTGTGGACCCCCAGGGTCTGCTTGGCACAGTGCCTGGGAGAAGTCCAGTACATGCATGAATGAATGAACGAACAAGGAAGTTGATTTTGACCATGCACATGACACTGATTTTGACCATGCACATGCACATGACACAGGAATTGAAGGGGCTTCAGGACAGACGCCTCTGTTTCACCAGGGGCTGCCCTCTTTCCTTGTGGGGGAAACCAGACCCTCAAAGTATCACGGGTCTGGTAAGCGCAATTGTACAGTTAAAATATATAAAGATTATAGTAAAGTCATACGAATAAGAGAGATAGGAGAGAAAGTAAAATGAAAGTGTCAGACACATTTCATAGTAGCATGCTCACCTCAGCCCTTCTTGGTGGTACACGTGGGGATGCGCAAAGAGAGGAGGGCAGGAGAGAGAGCGATTTATTTCTAACCAAGGCTTATATATCTCTTGAGGGCATGCAAGCCCCCTAATTACAGGTAAAGACATACATCACAGGAAGGGGTTCTACTATAGGTAATACAGTAATGGGAGGGAGACGATCTGGGGGTGTGCACGCGAGAGGAAGAGGAGGGATTAAGGGTATGCATGTGACAAGATGGGCGGATCCTAGATTCATGATGGTAGCCTAACCTTGACTGTCCTTGAGCTGAAGACTTTAGTTTTTCTAAGCTTTCAGGGAAAGCAATCCACTGTCCCTAACAGTAGGGCGTGAGCCCCACCTATGGCGGGGCAGACAATCCGGTCTGCTTGCTCTGGATGGCTGGTGTCTTCAGGGTGAGAACTTGACAATCATTTACCATTTAGTTGCAAAGAGTGCCCTAGATCTGACATATATTTGGGGGAGAAAAGCTGGGGAAAAGTCTTTTTATATCCCACATTTCCTCTCCGGTCCTCTCTCTCTTCTTAACCCTCTGTTTTCAGCCCTCTAGTTTCTTTCTGCTCGTGGGTAAACGACGGCCAGTTGTCATTGTTACCTTGTCACTTTCCACTGCTAACAGCTATTGTTATATTACTTCATTCAAGTTTCCAAAAAAGGGCATGATCGTGTCCCTTGGTTGCTTTAAGGCAGAAGAACCACAGGTCACTGCCTGGCTGTGGGTCAGCCACTGTTGGACCAAGGGATGCTCTGCGCTCAGTCAGCTGCTGCTTGGAGCACAGACCACAAGCCCAGGCCCCTCAGCTGAGGCTGTGGGCTGGAAACAGGAATGGGGCATGGGGGTGGGCACGGGAGGGTGTGTGAGAGCGGACTGCCGCAGAGGATATGGTCAGAGTGGGTGGTACCAAATGGCTGTCTGTAAAATTCTTGTGGTGTCTCAGCAGAAATTGATTTAAATGCCCCTGTCGTTAGCGAAAGGAGCCCTGGTGGCGTAGTGATTACTCGTTGGGATGCTATCCGCCAGGTCCACCGACCAAAACCTCCAGATGCTCCTCAGGAGAAAGATGAGCTTTCTACTCCCGGAAAGTTAGTCTCAAAAACCCACGAGGAGCAGTCCTGCCCTGTCCTATAGGGTCGCCGTGAGTCAGAATGGACTCAGTAGCAGTGAGTGAGTTTTTGAGTTGTTCGTTAAAACAACAAAAGCATTTTTCATAAGCCCAGCCTGCATGTATCCATCTACCGATAAGGCTAAAACTCCATACGAACTTTCTTGTCGAACCTTCTAATGCCCTCGGATCACAGCTGCCATCAGGACCCCATTACCATGACAGGTAACCTGGGGTTGCATCTTTTCATTGCTGTCGGTTTGTATAGTTGATGTTGATTTTGTCAAAATGGCTGGTGTTTTAGCTACAGTATTTTGGAAAGTAGTATTTGTAACCTATATCAATAACTACTTTTGAAAATGAAGTATTAATTTTTTAAAAATTGTTTTATTAGAAGCTCATACAACTCTTATCACAATCCATACATACATCAATTGTGTAAAGCACATTTGTACATTCATTGCCCTCATAATACTCCCACATTCCATCGAGAACCCTTTCTTTTTCTTCTTTTTTCAAATCGTTTTATTAGGGGCTCATACAACTCTTATCACAATCCATCGAGACATCAATTGTGTAAAGCACATTTGTACATTCATTGCACTCATCATTCTCAAAACATTTGCTCTCCTCTGAAGCCCGTGGCATCAGGTCCTCATTTTTTTCCTTCCCTCCCTGTTCCTCCCCCCTCATGAACCCTTGATAATTTATAAATTATTATTTTGTCATATCTTGCCCTGTCCAAT